AGGAGGCTGGATAATAAATCATACTTAACTCAGTCATCAGACTCCTACTCAAGCATTAAAAATCATGAAGTAGATCTCTGTGTTCTGACATAAGGAGATGGCTACAATCGATTATTAAGTGGAAAAAAACAAGTTTGCATAGTAGAATTTATGGTTTGATCACATTTGAGTAAAGTGAATTCATGTATATGGCAGTACATGCATAGAAAAAAGTATCTAGATGTAGGTGTGTCCTGTGCTGTTCTCAGTGGCTTCAGTCGTGTCCGACTCTTTGCGGTCCATGGACTGTAGCCTACCAGGCTCCTCTGTCCACGGAATTTTCCAGGCAAAAACACTGGAGTGGGTTGCCATGCCCTCCTCCAGGGGATCTTCCCAACCCAGGGATTGAACCCACATTCTTTACCGCTGAGCCACCGGGGAAGCCCAGATTAGAGTGTTAACTGGTTTTCTCTGCGGGTGGGAGGCGATGATAGTTCTGTTAACATCAGTGTCCGGAGGCTGCCTGGGGCCCATGTGCTTCTAGATTTGAATACAGCCCGCTTCCCTGGGACTAGGCAGACACCCACCCAGCAAGTTCCAGAACAGGAGACCCAGAGAATTTCCACGTCCCTCGGAGGAGGTGGAGATCTGAAGGACATAAAAATCTCAGCACAGGGGCACTGGAAGGGCTAAGGGGACCGTATGATCCCATTTTACCTGTGAGAGGACTGACCTAAAGAAGGTGCCAGTAGCAGGGATGGGTCCTCTGACCTTGGGGTGCCGGTGGGCACTTCCACTGCCCCTTCCACACCCTCTGCTCTAGTTTTCTTTCCGTCATCACTTAACTGTCGAGATCATGGTGAAGAAGAGCCTCGCACTGTTTTGCTCACACTGGCATTTATCTATCAGCTGTTAGGATGATGACCTAACATTAGAGAAGTGTTAGGAATATCCTTTGATGCAACAGTTCCTTAAAATAAAGCTGGCACTTTTCTACAATTAGCAAAATTACTGTACATCCTGGGATCAGCCTAAGAAAAGTCAGAACTTGATGGTTTTAGACACAGTCAACACTCAGTTGACGGCACTAACAGAAATGTGACCTTGGTAGTGATTGACACCCTGGTTCTGAGTGGGCTGCCGCAGGTTTCAAGGAGGTCTGTGCAAAACGGGAGGTGAGATGGTGGGGCCCTGAGGGTGGGAGGTGTGGCAAGCAGAGACTGGATGGGGCTGGAGACCAGAGCAGGGCACCGCCAGTGCAGAAGCTGCGTGCCCCAGTCACATCCCCGCAAGGGCTGGGGAGTGTGCGTTAACGGGTGAGACCAGTGGCTGAGAGGCCGCAGGAAGAAGTACAAGTGTGAGTCACTCAGTCACGTCCGACCCTTTGCGACCCCATGGACTGTAGCTCTGTCCATGGGATTCTCCAGGCAAGAATTCTGGAGTGGGCTGCCATTCCCTTCTCTAGGGGATCTTTCCAACCCGGGCACTGAACCCCTGTCTCTGGCATTGCAGGCAGATTCTTTACCACCAGGGAAGACCCTCGGGGGCCACAGTCCTGGGTTCAAATCCCCACCGTCTCCACTTTCTCAGGTCTGTGCCTCAGTTTTCCCATCTGCATAAGGGGGATCTAAGCACCCACCTCATAGTGGTGTCATGAGTTAACCGGCAGGAAAATATGTAGGATGTGAGTGAAGTGAAGTCGCTCAGTCATGTCCGACTCTTTGTGACCCCCATGGAATGAAGCCTACCAGGTTCCTCCATCCATGGCATTTTCCAGGCAAGAGTACTGGAGTGGGTTACCATTTCCTTCTCCAGGAGGTCTTCCGGACCCAGGGATTGAACCCAGGTCTCCCACATTGTGGGCAGACGCTTTACCGTCTGAGGCACCTAAGCCCTTGTTAATTGGGAAAGAGCTATAGCTGTGTAACTACCACGGGTGGAGAGAAAGCAGAAAGAAGCAGTTCTCCCGAGGGCGTGGCCCTGGGGTGGGGAATCGCCCTAACCCCCTTGTTTACCACCCCGAGCTGGAGTGGGTTGCGTTCCCGCTGACTCTGTCTCCCTCGGTTTCAGGTGGGATGGTCCGTGGAGCCGGCCCCAGGATGCTCCCCGGGTGTGGATGACCGAGCCGCCAGCCCCCTACGGATGCCGCGCCCCAGTCTTCTGACCCGGGGACCCCGCCCGGCGCGGGCCTGAGCTTCCCAGCAGCCACGGCGCAGGGACCCGGGGGAAGGGGCTCGGCGCCGGCGGGAAACATTCTCCCCCAGCGACTCGGCAAGATGACCAGCCTGTTCCGCCGGAGCAGCGGCGGCGGGGGCGGCGGGGGCG